GGATCTGAGTGTGGGTAGAGGAAGGGACATTTGAAAAGCAGGTGGAATTCCTTGCTGGCCCTTGAACCAGACCATACCACACCGTATTTGTGTGACTCTATTTGTACCACCTGCCTCACAACAAAGAAGGCCTCTGGGAAATGCTTTATTTAAAGAGAAAGTAACTCCTGAAGGTCAAACTGCTTTTCATGAAGGATCCTAGCATGGAGGAACACTAGCTAGAGCAGGCAATTGGTATGGTTGCACTCAGTCCCAACCAAGAAAGTCTTTCTATCAAAAGGAAGAAAGCGATCTTTGGATATCTCGATCAATGAGATATCTAACAAATCAGATTCTTTCCAAAACCAAATTCATGCATGATAAAAAACAATGAGAGAGGGACGGAATTTAGTAAATTGATTGTGATGAGTTTCCAGGAAAGACATACACACACACACACACACACACACACACACACACACACTTGGGCTGAGGTCATCCTCTGGAAAGAACATACATAATAGATAAGGTACAATAATAAATTGTTAAACAAACAAATGTTTGGAGAGGAATACCTAGCATTTAAGAGAGTTTGTTTTGGATTCTGGTTGTATAAATAATGGACATGAAACTTGCCCATCAGGAGTCTCATTCTCCACTTGTGCTGAAGAGATGCAGCTTATCACATGGCATTCTAAATTGCTTCACAGATGAGTAACATAAACCAACAGTTGAATAAACCTAACAAAGTAACACTTGACGCTCACAAAAGCAATTCTGATGTGGGCTGATGTGAGCAAGGAAGTGATGATTGCAGACACCTGCTAGGTGTGTCCTAATGAGAAAATGGTGGCAAAAAGAGACAATGATAACCCACATGTCTTGCCAACCCTGTGAGGCCATTTGTGACCCCACTGTAGGGCAAGGAAAAGAAGTTCACACATGTCTCCTCTTGGAGTAAAATAAAGTAGGGCTAGTTATGCAGAGTTAACCCTAAGAACAATCACTTGCCAAGTCCTGTCCCTTTCAACTCTTCAGGCTTTGGCTCATTGTGGCTTTGGCACAACCTGTTCCCTCTAGGATGATGCACTTCCTTTCCCCACCTCCTTCTCCATCGACAGACACTGTCCACATCCCATTAAGATCCATCTCAAATATTAACTCCTCTATTAAGGCTCTTCTAGCTCTTTAAAGCAGATTAGTGTTTCCTCCTATAGAATTTTTGTACAAAATTCTCTTACAGAAGTTTATAACTTCTGTTACATTTAATTCATGTAACATTTTAATTCATTTTACCTGCATATTAAAAAAGTGTGTTAGTTATTAGCATGCTTACCTCACTTATATTCATATCCTCAGATCCTAGCCCAATGTGTGCTCAATAATACTTAGTGATGCTTCACTGCCCATGAATGTAATTCTCCTTGACTTCCTGGCAGCCTCCACTGAGAGTGCTCAAGTTGTTGCTGACAACCTTCTGTTGGCCAGGAGATCATCACGAACTCTTTCCCTTCCATGTTCTTAAGGATTCTTGGGGCAAAGTCTCCATCATCTTCTTCAGGATTCTTAGATAATGAGGCTTGAGTTGAATGGAGCTGAGATTGCTCAAGGAGAGAGCACCAGAACTACTCAGGTATCTCTAATAAAAATAAAGATCATAAAACAACAGCATTCTAGGATTTGGAAAACCATTGTAATCAGGCTCAAATGACTCCCTGTAACCATTCATAATCAGGCTCGTGCTTATCCCTCTGGTTTTATGTCTCATACTTCCCATCACAAGCTTCATTTCATCTCTATCAAACTACTTGAAGATCCACAAACTCACCATGATTTCTCATGCCCCTCATTTAATTCTCATAGACCCTTGCCTATCAAACAGATGTTATCTCCATTTTTCAGATGAGAAAACTGAAACTCATGGATATTGGTTGATTGATTGATTTGGCCAAGGCCACACAGTGGAAGATCCAGGATTTGATCTCAATTTGTCTGACTCCAAAGTTTGTCTTCTTTCCCTCTATGCCAAGCAATTTCTCCTAATTAATGGAAATATTTAGGTTGCCCACCATTGCTGAAAATGTCAGAAACTGGCAGTAACAGCTTAAATAATGCAATAATCCCAGGATCACTGTGTCTCTAATCATTTGTGTAACAGTTGTGATATATGCACCAAGATAATTTAGGAATAAAATCTTATTAACTAAGCTTCTATGTCGGAGGTTCTCAAACTGTAAGATACATCCAATCCACTTTGGGCACTTATTAATGATATAGTTTTCTGGGGCGCACCCTCTAAACATGTGGGTTCAGTAAATGTAAAATAAGGCCTAAGAACTGACATTTTAAGGACACTTTGAGAAATAGCTTTCAATTATTTTATTTTACACATTTATTACCATCAAATTTAATACCTCTGCATGTAAGTAAATATTTTTGATGGTAAAAACTTTTATTAAGTTCCTCTAGTTACTCTTTGATATGATTAGTCAGAGATGAAAGTTAATGATATGATATTGACACAAGAGTCCTGATAGAATTGGGAGTTACTTTCTACTTACATCTCAATCAATATCTCTGAATGTATGCAGATTTTCCTGGGTGTTCTTCTCACTGACTCTAAGTCTACAATTCTATGACTCATAATATGCAAGTTTGACTGCTTGGATGTGCAATTTCAGAGGTTAGTCATCAGCATTTCTTAGTGCCCAGTTGATTATATCGTGGAATTTTGATGATGTTTGCAGTTGCTTGAGTTGAAAAACCCTCCCAAGAACCAGAAACAGGTTTTAAAAATCTGTTGCCAGGTTTCTTGTTGTAACTTTGTCATAATTGCCCCCAAATATGCACTGCTTACTGACTGCAAACACAGATTTATTCTTGAAATCCCCAATGATAGAAAAATGAAAAAAACAAAATTACTGCTTGAGGTCAAATGATGAGGAAATGAATGCAACAAATACTAATTGTTTTTTAAAAAGTTGTGATGAAGGAGAGTTTCTATGGAGGTAACTGGGACATGGAGTCCAGAAACATGCTATAAGAACTAAAGTGGCAAAATTTCTGAAAAATAGGCCTACAATTCAATTTAACTTAAAATATTTATTAGGCACATATGGGGTCCTAAGCGATGCTAAGGAAGCCCAGGGAAGAAAACATGCTCTCCAACTTTAAGGAGGAGCTCTTAACCTCTCAGAAAGCATGTACATAATATCTAGAGTACAATTATACTGTCATAAAAACAGTTCCTATGGCCACACCCTAAGGCTTGAGAAATTGTTCTACTTCTAACATTTAAATTCTAATACAAAAGTTTTAGTACCACAACCTATTATGCTTCCAGAAATCTCATTTCTTTGCTTCGAATATGTATGTCTTCGACCTCATTCAGACCTCTGGACCCTTATACCCTGCATTTCTTCAGAATTAATCACTTAAGGAGTCTATTCCTCACTTTTCCCCCTTTCAGAACATACTCCATAGTCTATCTTTTTGGATACTCTTGTCAACTAGTAACCCACTTTCACATTAGTCTAAGTGCCTCTGGAATTCCTAATAATCATCTATTTTCAAAATTTTTGGCTTTTTCTTAGTATTTACCATCATCTTAGATCTCTTAGCAAAGCTTGAAATACACACACCCTTAGTTCTTGAAACTCTATGTTGCCTTCATTTATTTCTTTATTAAATTTAAAAATATTTATTGAGCACTATCTTGTGCTAGGTTCCAGAAATATAATTTTGATTAAATAAATATACAATAAAACCTTGGATTGCGAGTAACATGGTTTGTGAGTGTTCTGCAAGATGAGCAAACATTTCTAATACATTTTAATGTGGTAAATGAGCGATGTCTTGCAATACGAGTAGTTTGTTTCCGGAACAAATTATGCTTGCAAACCAAGGTTCCTATATGGTTCCTATTCTCATGAACTTAATAGTCTATATATATATATAGACTGTTTTATATATATATATATATATGGTTCCTATTCTCATGGACTTAACAGTCTAGTGGTGAGAACAGAAAGTAATCACAGCACAAATATACATAAACTTGCAGCTATGATAACTGCAAAGGACAAGATGTAAGAGAGCCCTGACTTTTGTTTCTCTTTATTCAAAGAGCCATTGAAAGCTTTTTTTAAAGAGATGATATGCTTAGGTTTGTCCTTGGAAATACTTTTTCCAGCACTAGTGTAGTACACAGATTAGAGGTTGGCCAGAATGGATGCAGATCTGTGAGGAAGCTACAGCTGCAACCCAGGTGAGGCACAATAATCACTTGGCTCAGACAGAGGTAGTAAAGATACAGAAAAGCGACTGAAGTTGAGAGATACTTTAGATGTAAAATCAATAGCACGAGGCAATGGCTTGGCAATGGAAGCGTAAGAAGGAAAAGGTATCGATAATATATCTTGGGCTTCTGTCTTAGACAACTGGATAGATGGTAGTGCTATTGCCTGGTCAAAGTGAAGGAACCCTTTCTGAGAGGAACGACATGAATTATCCGCATGTTGAATTTGAGCTGTATTTGAAACATCTTACAGGAGGTGTCAGGTATGCCTTTGGATGTGTAGGTCTGGAGTTCAGAATGAAAAAGGACTGAACTGAATAGATCCATCTGTAGGTTGTTACTGCATGAGAACCAATCTGCAGAGTAAAGACAGGGAAGAGGATGTAGGACCATGCCTACCAGGGAACAATGCATCCATCAGCTGTCCAGTGGGTGCTTAGAAAACACACCTGAGAAGAAGCAGAATAGTAAGGGCCAGAGCTGGGAAAGAAATCAGAAGAATGTTTGCTCTCCCTGTTTTTCTCCTATCTTCAGGACTGTTCTGAACCTTTTCATCTCAAATNTACATTCATACTTGAAACCATATTATTTATTAGGGTCAATAACATTTTACTTGAAACATTAACAACTTTATTCAAACATTAATGAGACAAGTAGATTAATTGCAGAGAAGTTAATTTATCCATATATCTTGTTAAATAGTTAATCTTACCATTATTTGTCAAGTTTTATGCAATATTCTATGCTAGGCATAGCATCTAGTTGTAGGCCCTCAATAAATACTAGTGGAATACATGAAAGAATAATATTAAATTCTCAAAAACTCTTAGAAAATTCTCTGTGGGTAAAAAAAAAAAAAACAATGAGTAAGCCATTATTTATTTTAAAATAAATATCTTAAGCTTATTCATTTTAATAGTTTAAATGGTTCTCAGGTGTTTTCTATTTTTAAAGTATGAGATTCCTCTTTTAAATATTTATGTATTTTACATTTATGTAAGAGCTTTTGACTAGATTATAATACTACTAATTAATGTCTTTCAAGAAAATAGGCAATGAATAAAGTTAAAATTTCATTAATTTAATTTGTATTTTATTAATATTATTATATTTTACAAGTAGGACAATTTTTATAAATATTTGAAATATTTTATAAACATTTGAAAATTGGAATAAATTTTTGGAAGTACTAATTGTTTACCGTAAATAATAAATGGGGAATATATAAGTTTGGTTCTATCAATTATTTAGTCTATAGACAATGATGGGTAAATGTAAGATATGAGAGGCTCCCTGTAATAATTTCAACGTGCCAAGGGCCTGGTTAATAGGTTGGGCTCCACTGACCTAAGGAAAATGAATATAAATATAAATAACAAATACAAATATAAAATAATACTCTTATTTTCTCCACAAAGGCATCATGCTCTCTGAAGTGTGACCTCCTTATGAATATCTTAGATGTCCAACACCTAGCATATCACCTGACATAATAACAACTCAATTCACATTTATTGTATGAATAAATAAATTAATGAATTTCAGTAATTGTCAGGTTTCTATAAA